CGGTGCTGCCTAGTGGGGGATTCGCTCTAATATGAGAAGCGGGAGGGAGAATGCCGTGTTCCCTGGAGACGGCCGGGCAATAAAGCCGGGGGTGTGTGCATGTTTTGACCTATTAGAGCTAATTATGAGCCAGTCGAAAACAGGAAGAGGTGAGCATGACGAACGGGAGGCTTTTCAAAAGGACTGACTTGTAATTCCTAATGAGTGGGTCATAATATTTTGTAAGCAAGTTGTATCATTAACATTTTGTCTCTGTGCGGTTTAAAGGTCCAGTGTGTAACATTTAGGAGGGTCTACTGGCAGAGATGGAATATAATATTCATGGGTGTGTTTTCATTAGTGTGTAATCACCTGAATATAAGAATCACTGTGTTTGTGTTACCTCACAATGAGCCGCTTTTACCCACAGACGCCGTGGGTCGCCTTCCATGGAGTCTACTGTGTTTATCCTAAACACTGGTCCGTTAAGCAACCAGATTTCAACCCAAGCCATCCTTTACTAATTGTAAGTACTGTATCCGTACAGCACTGGAGAATCTGGCTCTTATCCCAGTCCCCAACCCGGCTAAAAACATTTCTCTAAACAGAAGTGGATGCACCCTCAAGCCACGTTCACCGGGCAGCGTTTCAGATTTTAACTGCTCTGTGCTGCTCACAGTCGAGTGTGCAACACCTCCACCCAGACCTTCACTGGAAATCAGAGCGTTTTCTTCGGTCAACAAGCGAGGAAGCTCAGTTCCTAATGTTATCAGATACTTGTTGGATCTAATCAAACCTGGTATCATTCATCCACCGTATCTCGTTCGGAGGCCGTGGCGCACTGCACAAAGCAGGCCTTTGAGCTACGCACCCGCCTGTTCCCACTGAAACCAGCACAGATTCCTAACATGCTTTGAAAAAGGGGGGATGCTACCTTTCAGTAGGAAAAAAAACACATTACGAACACACAAAGAAGACTCCGGATGGGGATAATGGCAAATAAGAAGAGCGAAACATACAGAAGGAAGCGAATAATAGCGGGCAAAGCCATTCTCAGCCTTCGTGAACGGCGGTTTTGCGTCACTACCAGGGACAAATTAGTTGCCAGGTGTTTCATTAGGTGGACAGAGAGGACAGAAGCGATGGACACGCGTAGCCCCAAAAAGACAGCAAGCGCCATCAGCGTCATCCCCATTTCCAGGTGCCATGACAACAGAAACAACAGTATCAAAAGGTCAGGCATTCTTTTCTCCAGGACAGACAGAGGGGGATACAGGGGGAACATTAATTGGGAGCGCTGCGGTGTCATTGTCGTTGTTGACACAACCAAGATGGACAATGTGTGCTGTTCAGTCTGAACATGGCCAACTCTTTGCAACACTGGTTGGACATGAAGGATTAAAAAAAAAAAACTGATGGAGTGAGAGTATGACTAATATCACACTCACTGATACTTCTTATTTCTGAGGATGCGACTACTGTTTTATTCATTTAAGATTAATTAAATCTAGACAAAACATCAAATAAAATAAGTAAAAGATGCCAGTGACAAGAGCCCAAGGTGACATGTTCAATTTGCTCCTTTTGTCCAGCCCACAATCCAAAAGCCAAGGACATTCAATTCATAAGGAGGAAAACAAAAACTGTCTGAAACCAGCGTGTTTGTTTGAGTTTGTTAGTTTAAATTTGTTGAAAAGATTCATTAATCACTGATTTATGGTGAAACAAGAAGTGAATGCATTGTTTGAGCACTACAGTATTTACACAGATTAATGGGCAAACGTAGAAGAAGTTACTATGGCTGAATTTATAGAATTCTGCTGACATTTTTTTTTTTTTTACAATTTTCTGACATTTCTGCTTGACAAAAATCCCTT